CAATCACAGCCTCTAGGTCTTGCAGCTGCGTCTGGTGATGCAGCTCACTGGCATGTAGGGAGTTTTCAAGGCCCCTTTCCTGTTTTATATAGATCTCCATCAGTGAATGAGTAACACAGAATGTGTTTCTGAAATCTGATTTGCAATATCTTCATCTTTTTTTTTTTGAGATGAAGTCTCCCCGTCGCCCAGGCTGGAGTACAATGGTGTGATATCAGCTCACTGCAACCTGCGACTCCTGAGTTCAAACTATTCTCCTGCCTCAGCCTCCCGAGTAGCTGAGATTACAGGCATGTGCCACCATGCCTGGCTAATTTTTTGTATCTTTGATAGAGATGGGGTTTCACCATGTTGGCCAGGCTGGTCTTGAACTCCTGACCTCATGATCTGCCAGCCTCAGCCTCCCAAAGTGCTGGGATTACAGGCGTGAGCCACCACGCCCAGCCATCTTTATCCTTTTATGTTCATTTTTTTCTTTAAAAAGATTGCAATAATTATATTGCATCTATGCAAAAGGTGTGTTTCCTTACAGCTTTTCGTGTGACCCCCCATTTAAAAAATTATATTTTATATACATAACTAGAGAGCTTACTTTATTTCAAAGACATCCTGTGATAATTCTTACTGAAAAAAAAAAACCCTCTGAAGTGTAATTAACTTATCACTCTGAGTTACCTGATTTTTAAATTATTCAAAGTATACTTCAGAGGTAAGCTTTGTCAAAAAGAAAATATGGCATGTTAAGCATTAAAGCCAGAGCAGACTGCTCATAAAAGGCATTTAAGGAACATGCTTAAATACTTTTTTGTTTGTTTGTTTGAGACAGCCTGGTTTTGTCCCTCAGGCTGGAGGGCAATGGTGTGATCTCAGCTTACTGCAGCCTCTGCCTCCTGGGTTCAAGTGATTCTCATGCCTCAGCCTCCTGAGTAGCTGGGATTACAGGCGTGTGCCACCATACCCAGCTAATTTTTTTGTATTTTTAGTAGAGATGATTTCACCATATTGCCCAAGCTGGTCTAGAACTCCTGGCCTCAAATGATCCACCTGCCTTGGCCTCCCAACGTGCTAGGATTACAGGCCTGAGCAACCTCGCCCTGCCCCGAACATGCTTAAATATTTTTCTTTTCTTTTTTGGGGACAGAGTCTTGCACTGTCACCCAGGCTGGAGTGCAGTGGCATGATCTTGGCTCAATGCAACCTTCGCCTCCCAGGTTCAAGCAATTCTCGTGCCTTAGCGTCCGAAGTAGCTGGGACTACCAGTGCGTGCTACCATGCCTGGCTAATATTTTGTATTTAATGGAGACGACGTTTCACCATGTTGCTCAGGCTGGTCTCAAACTCCTGAGCTCAGGCAATCAGCCCACCTTAGCCTCCTAAAGTCCCGGGATTACAGGAGTGAGCCACAGTGGGCTAAATATTTTTTTATTAGATGTCTCAATGACTTGGATAAAATAAATCCCACTGTTAAGACTTTGGATAATTACAAATATTCTATTCCCCCACTTCAGCAACTAGAGAATCCCAAGGTAATAAGAAAGCATTTTTTTCATTTTTACAGGTCTGAACTAGACCTTGAGTGAGTTGATAACAGCCACTGCCACAATGGAGGGAGGGGTGAGTAATTCAATTAGGATCAGGGATAGAATTCAGTGGCCTTGATTTCCAGTTTCTCAAGGTAAATAAATGAACATTAATTCTTTCCCTGTCTTCATCAAATCACACTGAGGACTCGATGGGTCAGTTACTTTTGAGATCATTCTCACCACAGCATGGAGAGATTCAATTTCCACTTGCAGGTGGTGCCACTGGCGTCGGGCTTCCTTGAGTTCTGCTTGAGCTGCCTTCAAAGCCTCTTCATCTTTGTCCATTTTTTTGCTTATGTCTTCTTCTAGCTACAAGAAAGCCGACAGCAACAGTAACAAAAACAAGGAGTGCTCTTGAAAATGAGATGTGTAAAAGCAATTAAAGAAAAATTGTATGGGAATCAAATAATTTTTTCTTAACTTGTTAGATTGTAATGTGTGTTCTAGCACCTAGTTAACTAAATACATGAGCAAGTCTGTGGCGTTCTTAGCTCATTTTCTCCTACGTAAAATGATTTCAAAAAATCCCTTCCAACTATGACAGTCTATAAAATATGGAAATATACATTGACATGAATGAAAACAGTTTGCAGGACCAAGATTTGTGATCTCTGATTCTTAACTTTTCACTATTTACGGATCATTGGAGGAAGGATTGAAAAATTAGCTGCTATGTCCCCCCATATTTTCTTAAGGCTGCTTTGCGGAAATAGATAAATAGCGGTACCCCCAAAACTCATCAACCTGGGATCAGGTATAGGGACAAGGAGTAAATACTGCTAGGAAGTACATTACTAGCAATTTAGAGAATTAAGTTATTATAGGCAATAAGGCTCGAAAATAGACTTCCATATGAAGAAAATCCACTGTTGATTTTCCTTTTCCAAGATGATCTTTTAAAAAGGCATGTTAATTTTGGGTATCTGGGTAATAAAATGAATAAATAATAAAAACGACTTCTCTAAGGATTGTTTTCCAAATGTTTTCATATTAAAAAAACAAGTGTAACATTTTATATTTAGCTTTAAATGTTTTTATGCTGATGTTGAAATGGTAAGAATATATCTGTTGACAGAATTTTCAACATTTGGCCCCAGGAACAGTGGGAACAATATATAGAATTGATTGTAGTATTTTGAAGCAGAATTTATAACTTTTAATATTCTTACAAAAATCCATTTTAACATTTAAAAATTTAATTTTATCATACCATAGATTGTTTAAAGGAAACATTGAAGTAAGTGAAAGTCTATGAATAAAGTTTAGGGCAAGGTATTTGAGAACAAAAGTCATACATTTCTTTGGGTTTGTTGATAATCTGTTCTTAGTGTTAACTTGGCAGAGTCATGCAGCAAGTAACACCCACCAGAGCAACTACAGAAGATAAAGTATAGAATTTTGGAAAGAAGAAAACAGAAAAATACTGGTATCTGCTGGTCCTGTGGCTTTCGAATATGGAACTAACAGCTAAGCTTGTTTGGTAACTATAGTCCCAAGATGAGTCCTAGAATGATCCCCTTGTACATTGATTCTGGGCTGACCTGGGTCTCACTTTAACAAGTAGGATGAATTAGAAAAAATGCTGTGCCACTTCTAGGCCTAAGTCTTAGGAAATCCTGACAGCTTCTACTTCTATGCTTTTGGGAGCCCTGGGCTAATATGTAAGAAGTCTGGATACCCTGTTGGAGAGATCTTGTAGAAAGGCCAGATGGAGAGAGACCCTGAGGCTATGTGGAGTGAGAGACAAAGTCCCAGCAGAGCCAGCGTTTCAGCAATGCCCTGCCAAAATGCCAGGCACGAGTGAAGCACCTTGGATGTTCCAGCCCAATCATGCCCCAGGAAGACTGGGGTCCCAGCTGAGTTTTGGGGGTGTTATATAACAACCTGTAACTAAAATAGTTTATTAAGTTTTAAAAAAATATTAAACAATCAGGTTTTCTTGAATTTATTTCAGCTGACTTTCTGAATTATTTGGAAAAGATCCTCTAAAGTAGTTTCAAGTTAAAAGACACTTTAAACAAAACTTACTGTAGTCTTGCTTTTTCATTTGAATTTACTCATTTGGCCCAGTAACTCATATTTCTACTACTACAAAGTAAAGTGTTTTGCTTATAGTTTTCAGAAGTTGTCATCTATTGATTTTTTTCTTCTCTTTGTAAAGATGAATGAACTATCCCAATGTTTACATGTACCAGTTACTTTGCTTAGTCTAAGATGTTGATCATTTATGAAGACTGAAAATGTTATCTAGAGGTGAAATTTATAATGTTAAGTAAAAATGAGTTCCTAATAGCATAAAGCCCTGTGATTTTCTACCAATTTTTTTTTGGGGGGGGGGGTGTATTCTGAAGTAAACTTTTTGCTGTATTTCAGGGCTTGGAAGAGAACTTGAACCCATATATGATAGGTAAACTAAAAAATCCCCTAAATTTCTTAATCTTTGTTTTTAAAATATTTGTTTGTGAATTTGTTAAAACTTGAGACCTTAATTAATTGCTGAAGGTGATTGTTACTTTAAAACTAAGTCTATGAAACTAAGATTTAGTCCTTATCTGAGTTGGCCCTCCTTCTCTTTTTAAAAATACTTAAATATTATAAGCTTTGTAATGGAAATAAATGTTTGTCATCTTTTTTTTTGTCAGAAGCAAAAATCTTAGTGGGGAATCGTTACCAGTTTGGGGAATTTCGATTGTTGTAGTTTATATCATTGTTTCCGAATGCCATGTTCACACAATCAGATGGTTTCTATTTATAACAATATGGTATAAAATGGAACTCTTTACCAGACCAGCCTGGTAAAAAGATGATAGAAGCCTTTTAGAAATATTTTACTTAGTTTTATCTCTAGAAAGTGCACATGCTAGTAAATCTTACTTAAACGTTTTTCATTTTAAAGATGTTATTTAAATTATCTCTATAAATAACTCCATAATATCTTTGAAGGGTATCTGGAATGCTTCCTTCCTGAAGAATGTCTGTAAGAGGTTAGAGTGCACCATTTTTTTGTATGTTGACCCCATGTTAATGATAGGAACCTCACAATTTTATATAAAAATCAATGCATCAATCAACACTTATTTAATGGCAATTTAAGAATATAATCGCAGTATTTCCCCCTGTACTCCCAGTCACATTGCAGTAGAAGCTAAAATCCTTCCCCAATAGATGCTGCATTGAAAAGGAAATACTGTACCTCAGAGAGGCCGGGACAGGAATTGGGTAGACATGGACTGTCTCCTTATTCTGGAAGGTGCCTGTCTGTATGAAATCATTACCTGGATCCTTGTTGAGAGCACCGTCTCTATCTGATTTCTGGTGAGGATCTTTTCATAGTTTGCCCTGATCTCATTGAGTAGCTGGGACAGTTCCATTCTTTTCCCATCCTCCACCTTGGCTAACTGAACCTTATCGATAGGATGAGTCGCTGCGGCAGAGTCTGCTCTGTCTGCGAGGAGGGCAGGAAGCATCGCGGAGTCTTAAAGATGCAGAGCTCCTTTTTCAGAGGCCATGGAAATTCCCGTCTTTCTAACTAATTATACAAATACAGGGTAAACTTTTCGCTTCTATTTTTATTGGTATAATAGAAATGTCAGATTCTTCATGAAGGAAACAAAAATTTAAAAAACTTTACTGGTTCCCTGTAAAAATTGAGTACTTCGAGGGGAGGGGGAGTTAACTTCTGTGAAAAGGAAATGGGGCATAACATAGAATTGCTGGACGCTGTGGCTCACGCCTGTAATCCCAGCACTTTGGGAGGCTGAGGCAGGTGGATCATCTGAGGTCAGGAGTTTGAGACCAGCCTGGCCAACATGGTGAAATCCTGTCTCTACTAAAAATACAAAAATTATCTGGTAGTGGTGGGGGCACCTGTAATCCCAGCTACTTGGGAGGCTGAGCCAGGAGAATTGCTTGAACCCAGGAGGTGAGCCACCGCACTCCAGCCTGGGTGACAGAGCTAGATTCTGTCTCAAAAAAAAAGAAAAAAGAAAATTATATTTAGTTTTCTCAAAATGTGGCTTGCAAATACATCTGGGCCCCAACACATGATAGTTAAAATTTTCTTTTACAGTTTTTCTCACTCTCTGGACCCTTTAAACAGAAATGCTATGGTACGTCATTAGAGTGTGTTGTAAATCTTAAATATTCTGAAAGTTATTGGAAAAAGCTACCATCGGGTTAAGTTGACAGTTGTCATTAGCTCAGAACTGACTGATTGTATTTCTCTCAAGTGCATGCTGTGGAGCTCATAGAGGATTGCTGGCCTGATAGAGCTTGTTGTATTGAGGTGAAGCTGTAGCTACAGATAAGTGCTGTAGACTATGGGAGTTGCGAGTTAACATTTCCAATGTTTTAATAGGGATGAAGAAGTAGACCTTTTGGTGTATTCACCAAAAGAACCCTTGAGCACTTTGTAGTCAGTGTATTATTCCATCCAATCTTTGCAATCACTTGAGCCCTTCGGAGGGCATATTCAGTGTATCATTCCATCCAGTCTTTGCAAATCCTGATGTTTTCCAACCTGTAAAGATGAAAAGACTGAGGCCAGAGAGGTTGAGGCATCTTGCCCAAGGTTGCTCAGCGATGTATGACATCATTGTGACTGGCTCTTTGATGACTTGCCTGTGTTCCATGTATTGCCCCTGCATATCTGCATCTGCATGATCACTCTCCCCTCCTAAATTCCTGGTTCAATCTTGCCAGCTGGTTGCTAGATGTGATGGAAATATGTTGTGAGAGTGAATCTATCATTATTGTTGTTTGTGGAGTGGCTTTGGCTGAACTGTATCTGGAGCACAGTTCAGGGGATAATCAGACCTGGGTTCTAGCCCTCACAGGGCCTTTGCATACATGTCCTGCCCTTTTAGTTTCTGAATTAACTCATATCTGGCCAGGCCAGTCTATGCTGGGCATTCTCACAGTCCCCTCTAAACAGAGCTGTCCTACCCACAGCCCCTGGTGAGAGGAGAGGTGCCAGGTCATTCCTGACCTGCCCCTCCCTACCTTCTGCACCTTCCCTGCCAGTCACAGCTTGATTATCTATAGATTGGTCAGAGACCTATGAGGTAGGCCGAGACAGAAAGCTCTGACTAAAGAGGCTCATTGATGATTATCTAGGCCAAACCGATTCTCTTTCTTGGTAATTGAGACTGAGAACTATGAAGAGAATTAGGCTTGGGAGTAGAGGAGAGAGAAGAAAGCAATGAATTAAATTTCTAAATTAAATTCAGGAAGCAATGAATTAAATGTTTCCCACTACTTTAGGTAGCTCCTGCTAATGTCTGCCTAAAACATAGAGAGCTGAACTAGATTCCCTGATGGGTCAGTCCTGGCAATCTGCATTTTAAATAGGTCTCCCAGCATTTCTTATGCACCCTAAATAAAGCAGCACTGTCCAGTGGAACAGAACACAAACCACAAATACAAACCACAGATGTACTTTTAAACTTTCTTTCTTTCTTTTTTGAGATGGAGTCTCACTCTGTCACCAGGCTGGAGTACAGTGGAGCAATCTTGGCTCACTGCAACTTCTGCCTCCCAGGTTCAACCGATTCTCCTGCCTCAGCCTCCCAAGTAGTGGGCACTACAGGCGTGTGCCACCACTCCCAGCCAATTTTTGTATTTTTAGTAGAGATAGGGTTTCACCATGTTGGCCAGGATGGTCTCCTGACCTCAGGTGATCCATCCACCTCAGCCTCCCAAAGTGCTAGGATTACAGGCATGAGCCACCACACCTGGCCTAAACTTTCTAGTAGCCATATCAAATGATAGAAACAAAAAGAAGTGAAATTAATTTTACTATTACATTTTATTTAACCTGATGTATCCAAAATGCAGCAACCAATATAAAATGTTAATGAGATACTTTACATTATTCTTGATACTGTCTTTGAAATCCAAGTGTATGTATTTTATATTTACATAGCATCTCAGTTTGGATAAGCCACATTTAAAGTGCTCAAAAGCCACATTTAAATTGCACTCTAGCCTGGGTAACAGAGTGAGACTCCATCTCAAAAAAAAAAAAAAAAGAAAAAAAAAATAAAAAGATAATAAAAAGGACTTCCATATGACCTAGGAATTTCTCTTCTGGGTATTCACCCAAAGGAGATGCAATCACCACCTCAGAAAGGTATCTGTATTTCTATGTTCATTGTAGCATTATTCACAATAGCCAAGATATGGAAACTACCTAAGTGTCAATGAATGAATAGATAGAGAAACTGGTGTGTGTGTGTGTGTGTGTGTGTGTATTCCCTTGTATACACACACACACACACACACACACACATATATGCACCAATAGATTCCACCCTAAAAAAGGGGATCTTGCCATTTGTCACAACATAAATGGACCTGGAGGGCTTTATGCTAAGTGAAGTAAGAAACATATTATATGATCTTATTTATATGTGGAATCTAAGAAAAAAGTCAAATATGCAGAGAATAAAACAGTGGTTCCCAGGAGTAGAGGTCGGGATGGGTTAGGAAATGGGGAGATGGAAGTCAGTGTATACAAAATCATACTGCCATGTGTGTACCTATGCAACAATCTTGCATGTTCTTCACATGTACCCCAAAACCTAAAATGCAATTTAAAAAAAGAAAAAAAGTGACAGATATGTAGGACGAACAAGTTTTAGAGACCTAGCCTACAAACCAGATATCACAAAATTGTATGCTCTCTGTGGTTTTTTTTAAGTAAGTAGAGTTTGCTCTCATCACACACAGAAAGGTAACTGAGATGACAGATATGTTAATTTGCTTCGCCAGAGTAACACTTTTACTGTGCATACATATCCCATCACAAATTTTATGTTGTAATGACATAAAATTTATTTTTTGTAACGATGAAGTAAATGCTCAAAGAAAATTTAGGAAGAGAGAAAAATCTCTTCCCTTGTTTCCAACTGGAAGAATCGAGCCTCTTATTTTAAATTTGCTTTGTCCCAGCGTCATCCAGCTGCTCTCTCCCATAGTTCTTTCCACACTTGAGGGCTTAAGAGTCATTCTGATGCTTCTGTTTGCTGGTGTCATGGAAATATCAGGTAGATGGTGGCTCCATCTGCCCGGACACACTGTGCAGCCATTACCTATTTGGCTCTTGTCCCTTTCCTGAGGTTACAATCCAGGAAGTAGGGCACAGTTCTCCTAAATAGTCAGTTCCCCCAACTTACCTCCTGTTTTGCTGCTTTGCAGGGGCTCTGACTCAGAAGCAGGACCTGGGGCACCCCTCTTGGGGACCCCACTTTGCCCTTCCTCAGCAATCCTTTTTTTTCCCCACTCCTTTTAGTCCAGGGTAAGTTCTGTTCTTCAGGGTGGGATGGAAAATCCTGCTTTTACTACTAGAACCTATGCTCCAAGATCTGTCTTGTTCACTGCTGGATCACCACCTTCTAGCTCTGTGCCTAGCACAGAGAAGGCAGGCAACAGATACGTGGCAAATGAATAACACTTCTTTTGGACATTTTGTGTGGGCCCTGAGTCCTCTTCATTCTAAGACTGGACTAGGGGATCACATTGCTTTTGTTTCATCTGCCCCTGAGACAATGAGCACAGATTAATTTATTTGCCTGAAGGTGGTGAAGGAAGGGAATTACTAGAAGAAAGGTAAGTAGCTCAAAAACACTAAATTCCTTAAATTTCTAGTGTTTATAAACACAAGCAAATCAGACATGCACCCATCATTCACCTTGGTGAATTTTCACTGAGTGACCTTCTGGGAGTTTGGAATTAAACTTTGGGAGAAATAACAGCTTTTCTAACATGTTTGTCCTTAACAGCTGTGGCACACTCAAGAATTTGAATTGCTTTGAAGAGGAGAAATATTAACAAAGAAAATAATGAATTATTTTTGTGTAATGGATTTGGGCACATACATTTCACCCTTTAAATTAATCTTGAACACCAGAATGTCAAACTCAATCCATTTAATGTTTTTCCTGCCCTACACATAAATGTTGTGATCTGTTTTTATTCTAAAAAGTGTAACAGATGAAATCATGGCCACGCAGGTTTATATTAAGTGCTTTTTTTTCCCTCCAGGAAATTGTAAATACGAAGCTTTTTTCTTCAGATAGATCAGTCCAACTGATCTTTTATAATCCCAGAGAGCTTGGGTATTATTTTATTTATGAAGCGTAATTTCTTTAGCAGCTTAGGATTTTGTGAGTCCCTCTTTTTAATAAAGCATTTTCATAGGGTTATAAAGGCCTAATTAGTCAGCAAATAAAGGCTTTTTTTCAACTGAAAAAACTGCTATAAATGACAGGGCTTTACTGGCTTATATCCTTTTTGTTATATTATTGATTTTTCTACTCATAGGAGCAGGCCTCTACATGATATGATTTAATCTTATTTTTTATATATGAGCTAAGACTATAATTAGATGATAAACAGTTTTGTGTGGGAATGTTTGTCAGCATCTTTTAGCATGTTTTCAGAGTATGTGAGAAATGCTTACGTGTGTTTCTATACACCTGAACATGTGTTTCGTATGCACTGATTCAGCCGGGTACATTATACATGCAGTCTCGGTCCTGGCAGATAC